GCCGCTCCCCAGATCCGCTGCCATGGTGAGTTCCCCTCCGCCCCGTCGATTGTTCCAACTCCTTCTGGTTGCTCGGGTTCCTGGTGTTCTGACGATACGTTGTTGTCTGTGTTTTGGTGCTTGCAGTCGACGGAGAAGAAGCAGCTGAACCCCATGCGGGACATCAAGGTGCAGAAGCTCGTCCTCAACATCTCCGTCGGCGAGAGCGGAGATCGCCTCACCCGCGCCTCCAAGGTATATATATGCCCGTCTATTTACCCTCCCGCTCGCCTCGTTGATGCGCTCGCGCGCGTGTGATTCAGATGTCAGTATATTGTTTTGGTTGTTCTTGTTCGCTCATAGCAATCTAGTCCTAGTTTGTGGAATTGTATCTGGCAGAAATCGGCACTGGCTTATTCAATCTGGGGTGTCCTTTGTAGATTGCTAGTAGGACATGCATCGGCTTCTGATGCTGATGCTGGTACCATGTACTCCCTCCGTCCAAAAAAGCTTGTCCCTCAAATGGATGAATCTAGCACCAAGTTAGTGCTAGATACATCCATTTGAGAGATAAGCTTGGGACAAGTTTTTCCGGACGGAGGGAGTAATAACTGTTGTTTCCCCGTGGTCAGTCGTTTCTGCTCCATTTTGCTTGTTGTAGATTGACCTTAATCAGTGTTGTCTCAGTGGCACCGAGTAGTTCAAGTGATTTCTCTGCATTCCTGGTCTCTAAATAATACTGGTTAACTGCAAATCATCGATGGATGTTAACTGCATTGTTGTTGTTAATTTGATAGGTGCTGGAGCAGCTGAGCGGACAGTCACCTGTGTTCTCCAAGGGTGAGCTTCTTAAATCCGACTTGTTCCCTTGGATCTGTCAATTGAGGTCAATGTAGTTGGTCCTAATAGGAAAGGTATTGTGCTATTGCAGCGAGGTACACTGTCAGGTCGTTCGGTATCAGGCGTAATGAGAAGATTGCGTGCTACGTGACTATCAGGGGTGAGAAGGCGATGCAGCTGCTGGAGAGTGGCCTGAAGGTGAAGGAGTACGAGCTGCTCAGGAGGAACTTCAGCGACACCGGCTGCTTTGGCTTCGGTATCCAGGAGCACATCGATCTCGGCATGAAGTAAGTTGACCTTGTTGCATCTCTTTTTTTTGTCAATGTGGTGCTTGTTTGGACTGGTTAATACTTATTATTAATCAAGTAGATGATTCTGTTTCATTCTTAAATAGCTGAAACCAAAATCATAGAGCTGAAAGATGTTTGGCTGAAGTTATAGTAGGGGCTACAGTATCATTAGGCAGCTACTCTTATTGTTAAAATCCCTAATAAGTTGTTTAATGCACTCATTATTTAGTAATGCCTAGAATATTTGTTAGAAATGGGCTTAATCAATATTGTTAGATTGGATTTATTTACTCAATTGATTCATATGCCAAATCCTGACTTGGTTCTCAAGCATTTAACTAGCATCACACATATTTGTATGTCAGAGATGACCAACGAAAGGCCTTGGTTCCTGTTGGCACCGTTAATATTTGACGATCTATTGGAATCATTTTGGATAAGTTTTCCCTTTCAGTTTAATAGTGCAAATAACTGATTGACTTTAGTTTGGCTACGCATTGTGTGGCCACTGCCTATGTCCTTTTAACCTTTGGATTTTGGGCACTACTACCTTCATTTACCAAGTATTTGCAGTACATCGTTATGTCTATTTGCTGATAGCACACAGTTCTCAGTGGTTGTTCAATGACGATTGGCACTTCTGACCAGTAACTAACCATGTTTCCTTTTCAGGTATGATCCATCTACCGGCATCTACGGTATGGACTTCTTCGTGGTGCTCGAGCGTGCTGGGTACCGCGTCTCCCGCCGCCGCAGGTGCAAGGCCCGTGTCGGTATCCACCAGAGGGTCACCAAGGAGGACGCCATGAAGTGGTTCCAGGTCAAGTATGAGGGTGTCATCCTCAACAAGTCCCATGCGAGCTAAGAAGGACGTAGCTCTCTTTAGACCTTGAGTTAATTAAGTTCACCTGGTTGCTGGATATGTATGTTACCTAGAAACCAAAAATGCTTTGTCAGTTTTGCCTGTACTCAAGCTGGATGATTTCTGTTTGATGCGCACTTTCGTCTAAGAGGCTCTCTTCTGTTTTATCCTCTCTGAACAATAGAGTATATGTTTGTCTTATGATAGACTGCCTTTTGTATGGCCACTCTCAAATCTTCTCTAATTTTTGGTTCGTCCACCTGAACTTGTGCCCTATTCGGTATCCCTCCGCTCCACAACTCCAGGAACGGAGTTGGCGGAGCTGCTGTTAAGATCGAAGGAGTTGTGGTTTCCCCGCTCCACATATTCTGGGAGTGGGTGATTACAGGCCCTTACTGTGACTGCTTCATCACATCGGTCCATTTCAGCAGCTGGAAGAAATCTGTAAATGATGGAATGAACGTTCGCCTGGCACAGATGGCATTTTTAGTTGAGCCGCTTCTTTAGAGCGTCAGATGACAGTGTTTTGTTGAAGATATACAGTAAAAAACACATTTCACACACAAAAGTTTCTTAAATTTACTTGTCGACCATTTCACCTGTGTATGAAATTTCATGAAGAAATGACACTAGGATATGCCGTAGTGAAAATACAATATAACTTCAAACAGTGTTTATAAGTATAACTTTGATTTTTTATCATTTTCGCCCAGAATGCCCCGGAGGTTTACAAGTATAACCTTGATTTTTTGTCATTCTCGCCCAGAATGCCCCGGAGTAGAATGGTTGACCATGTATGCTAAAAAAAATATTCCGATTATTCTGAGTTTAACCATTATTACTCTCTTTGATCGGAAATAAGTGTCGTGCTTTTAGTTGAAACTTATTTCCTATCAGAGGGAGTAGTATTTTTCTTAGAATTATTATTTATAACGACGCATGAGGAATCATGTCCGGTTTCAACTTGCGCAATGTCGTTCAAGGGTCGAAACCAATATCATTAGTTTCGCTGTCAGTTTTGCCATTTTTAATGGCGAAAGTTGAGCCAACTAGCCAATGGTAAGAGAGAACGAAATTGCTGGGAAGCTCGTGTAATTAGTACTAGATGATTAGGGTAAACCACAGCAAGTCTAGCCGCCCTTGCCAAACACATTCTGTCACCTGCTGCGAATCCCCCCAAATGGACACGGCAAGCATGTGCACCGTGGAGAGGCGCGGCCGCGTCCACCTCATCACCCTCACCGGCGCCGGCGAGCACCGCCTCGGCCCAGCCCTCATCTCGGCCATCCGCGCCGCCGTGGCCGCCTCCCCCGGCGCCGGCGCCCTCGTCCTGGCCGCCGAGGGCAAGTACTTCTCCAACGGCTTCGACCAGGCCTGGGCGCGCACGGTCCCGCCCCACCTCCACACCGCCATGAGCGAGGCCTTCCGGGGCCTCGTCGCCGACCTGCTCGCGCTCCCCATGCCCACCGTGGCCGCCGTCACGGGCCACGCCGCCGCCGCCGGCTGCGCGCTGGCCCTCGCGCACGACTCCGCCGTCATGCGCGCCTCCCGCGGGTTCCTGTACATGAGCGAGGTCGACGCCGGCATCAAGATCGTCGACTACTTCGCGGAGCTGCTCCTGCAGAAGGTCTCCGACGCCGCGGCCAGGCGGGACATGCTCCTCCGGGGGGACAAGATGACGGCCGCGGAGGCGGTGCGGCGGGGCCTGGTGGACGCGGCCGCGGACGGCGGCGTCGACGACGTGGTGGCCGCGGCCGTCGCGGCGGCCGAGGGGCTCGCGGCCAGGGGGTGGGACGGGGAGGTCGTGGCCGAGATCAGGAAGGCCATGTGGCCCGCCGTGTGGGCCAAGGTCAAGGACTACGGCGCCGACGCGGCGGCGCCCCGGCCGCGGCTGTAGGCTGCTCTGCTTCGGAAGGATTGCTCTGAATCTGTAGCATGTCGTAGACACCTACTGGGAACAGAAATAATGGGCTGGTGAACTGTGATCGGGCGGTGTGCTGGTGGTCTTCCTTGTCTGATGTATTGATCTCGCTTCTGGTTTCAATTCTTGAGAGTTAAGACCGACCGAAGCTTCTTGCTGATGGATTTTAGCTTGTGAAGGATGAACATGGGCACTCACTTCATCTTGCTTGTGACTATCATTGGTTTAGAACGTTCGATTTGGTTTGCAGATGTCGTGAACGTTGGAGCAGACTAGCATCTACGTTTGCTCACCACCCACCTAAAGTTTGTCTCCACCTCATGGAAGCACAATTAGAAGTGATTTGAATCTTGAAGGTTTTCAATATTTACATATGTGGCATCGAAAACCCCTCTCTCCAGCCTGCTACAGGAATAGACATATACTCCACATTATACATTTGCAATGAACAACGTACAACTTGAAACCAACTTAAAACCAACATGGCCAGCAGCGGTGTTGTTGGCTCTCCTCTTCAGGCTGAAGCCAAGGCGCTTCTCTTTGCTTCTGAAATAGCAGAAGTACTTCAACTACACCAGGCCACCATTTTGACAGATAATCAGGTACTTGCAAGAGCCGCGGCTTTTCTGGCGACATATATTCAAAAAGTTCAAACCTAGGACATTTGGAAATCCATTCATTGATAGCAGAATACTTTAATTGTTCCAAGGATTTTATGTTAAAGATATATCACGTCAAAAGGGATTTGAATGGTGTTGCTCATAACTGTGCAAAAGACTCGCTGAAAAAGCTTTCTACGGTACCTCCTACCTTGCACTGTATTAGCTCATCTCATAGGGGTATGCAATGCTCAGTGTTGCTAGCTTTGAGCAACTTTGTAAGCTATGGGTTCTGTATCCATGATGTAAAATGTGTATGGAAGTTCAATGAATGGCGCCTTTGGGCGCCCCTTGGGTTAAAAACAAAATAACCCTCGATGGCTTCTGTGTCCGCGGCCACTACTCATGCCCACTGCCGGCTCACGTTCCAGCCGTCGTGCAAGACAACATCGTTGTGACAATGTCGCCACCGGCTTTCAAGCTCATTATTTTCTTCAAATATATTGAAACACCAGGGTGAATATTTGGTCTTGAAAGGGGGTGATATGATAGCAAGGCAGCACCGTAGCTAGAGGCTGCGAGGTCAGGAAGGCCAAAGTGGCGATGAAAAAGGATTAAGCCGAAAATACACACATGAACCTGGGTCTAGGCACACCCTAATCGGTTCTTTTTAATGTAAAAAATGGCAATTATTTTTGAAACTTTTTGGTAACGAATATGGTATTTGTTATACTCATGTGTAACGTTTCATAAAGAAATAACTTTGGTGATCTTCGCTGTAAATAACCACAAAAACGGATCTATATGAAAGTACTATTCAAGGTTTTTGCAGCTGCGAATTCGTTGTTGTTGTCCTTTTTTTCGCCGAGAAGAAGACCGAAGTCATTTCAACTTCATGCATGAGTAGAACATCAAAGACATGTATGCTAGAAATGTTTTGGTTTTTATGCTTTCTATATATATTTTTCAAGGATACATCCAAAGTTGGACACATGAGAAACATAGATTAAGGAAAGCCAAGATGGCTAAGTACAATGCTTTGAGACAGCTACAACGTCCTAAGGCCACACAACACCCTTGCACGGATTACTCGCTAACTCTCCACCCATCTAACAGTCCGTCTCTACGGATGAGCTTTGTCGCGTTCCACCTCAGCCCTTCCTCACTCTCTTAAGAACCGTCGACGCCTAGGGTGTACCCCCATTGAAGAAAATGTAATTATGGTGCCGCCACAAGCACCAAATAATCAGTAACACTCAGGAGTGTGCATCCGCAGGAAACAACCCTTGCACCTCTTTATCGGCCCACCAGTCCACCAGATCTGTATCCAATATCGATGTCCAATCAGCCTTTGCCCCGGTGGTTAGGCATCACTGCCCATACCTCTCTAGCTCTCTAGCCAGCATGCAGCCAAAAAGAATGTGGTGTAGACCTTCCAATTCCTAATCACATAACAGGCACGCCACACAATGTGACAAACCATGCTGGCTCAACCTATCCGCCATCTAGCAGTGATCTCAAGAAGCTAGCTAGACGAGCATCTTGCATGACATAGGGGCACGGGAATTCTAGACCGTTGTTGTAGCCGGGTATAGCGTTCTCGCAAAGAAGAAGGCTTCATAAGCAGAACTAGCCGAGAATTGCCCGTCATTCCCCCATATCCACTCCAGATTGTCCTCCACATAATCTCGGAGCTGGAACCCCCCGAGCCAAGTTCCAAGAACTCTCGTAACACATGTCTAGCCATTTTGGGCATACATCGGTTCACCATCCATCGTTGACCAGACCATCCCTCACCGAGTGCACTTGAATGGCTCTCTTGATCACAAAGAGATGCGGAGCAAATTCTCTGATCTGGCCATCTCGCAGCCAACAGTCCTCCCAAAAGAGAGCTTTCATCCCATTCCCAATCGTTGTTTTTGTGGCTATACAGAAGATGGCCTTGGCCTCATCTGGGATCTGGATATTGAATTTTTTTGATGGTTTCTCGTCCACCACTCACTTTAGGTACGACCTTCTAGCTCTTAATGTCAAGTTCATCAGTCGCAGATTCAGTAGTCCCAACCCACCGATCCTCTTCGGCAAACACACATTATCCCACGCCACAAGACAATGGCCGCCCTTCACATCCTTCCGTTCTCTCCATGCAACCATGAAAGATTTTGGTTTCCTCGACAAGCATTTTGACTGGAGGTCCATTGTGAACATAGTGTGCATTGGCATAGCGGGGAGCGTACTCTTAACAAGCACCACTCACCCTACCATGACTAACATGGATGCTCGCCTGTAAACACTCCATCCACTGTGGCTTAGCCACTGTGGGCATTCTCAATCTCAAGGGCAACCCAAGATACATGCATGAGAAGGGTAGCATTTGATGGTAAGCTTCGTCGCAACAATTACGCCCATCCCAATGCAGGCACGCAAGCATTGAAGGTCTGGTCCGATAAACGTCACGATGTTGTCAGCATACCGGTGTTGCTACCGTCTTGCCACCAAGGGCGTCAACACACCCTTCTTCGTAGCTGCATTGAGAAGATGGTGCAACCCAACCATGGCAATCACAAAGAGAAGCAGGCACTACAAAAAAAAGACACATTGGTGACATTTTGGGCCGAACGAATTTTTTCCCTCTCATACTTATTACACTTCTATGATGATAATTGTGACAAAACCCGATATCATCATAGATGTGGTGGGGTCCTACTTCTATGACAAAAAATCATGACAGAAAAATGGGCTTTTCGTCTTGGGCGGACCGGAGACGTAGCTGCATGACATTTTTTGGGCCGTCCATGATGAGAAAAACTGTGGTAGGAGTGAGGGCGAGGAAAATATCGGGGAGTTCCCGGTTACGGTGGGTGGTCGGGGGCCGAGCGATGCGCGCTTCTCTCGTACACGTACGCGCGTGCGTGCGAGGCGTTGGGCTCTAACTGAACCCGAGCGAGGCGTTGGGCTCTAACTGAACCCAACCAATTGCACTAGCTAAGTTACTGAACCCGAGCGATCGATGCCTTGCTGTTAACTGAACCCGAGTGATCCCTTCGCTACTGATGCTAACTGAAGCCGATCGATGCTGCCTCTGGATGAACAATGAGCGTTGTTGGGGGGTTTGGATGAACAGTTCCCGGTGAGGGGTTGGATGAACAGGAACCCGTGGTAGTAGAGGCTGTTGCCGCTGGATGAATAGTACCTCGATCGATCGAGCCGGTGGATGAACATGACCCCGTGGAGGGGTGGATGAACAGGACCTCGTGGAGGGCTGGTTGAACAGTATCCGGTGGAGGGCTGGATGAACAGTAGCCCGTGGAGGGGTGGTTGAACAGGACCCCGTGGAGAGGGCTGGTTGAATAGTAGCCGTGGAGGAGCGCGCGGATGAACAGTCGCAGGTGGAGGCTGGAGGAGGTCGACAGTGGATGAACAGTAGCCCATGGAGGCTGGAGGAGGTCGACGGTGGAGATGAACAGTATCCCGTGGAGTCCCATTTTGCGGTACGCCACACCCCTCCCGATGAATAGGACCCCCGTTTCGACCGTAGCGCTCCAACACAAGTCCCTTTCCTCCGTTTTGCAGTACGCCACACCCCTCCCAATCAACAGGACCCCGTTTCCACCGTAGGAGGTCCGTTTCCTCCGTTTTGCGGTACGCCAGACCACTCCCGATGAACAGGATCCCGTTTCGACCATGGCCGGTCGAACACAAGGCCGTTTCCTCCGTTCTGCAGTACACCAGGCCTCGTTTCCATCGGCTGTTCTGTCCAAGCCGGTTGGCTCCCGATGAACAACAGGCGTTCCGTTGCCTCCCGATGAACACGTCGCATTCAGTTGCCTCCCCATGAACACGACGATGATGCAGTTTCTCCATTCCGACCCAGCCATGTATAGGAGCCCTGACCGTACATATGCGTGAGTAGGCGTTCGAGACCCCGCCCGTATGTACGTACATGGCCGTATTTACTTTCTTGCATCCTGGCCGCTGTCCATACGTGTACATGCTACGTGTGCGTCTCTACTACGACACATGCGCGCCTCTACTACGATACATTCCCTTCCTTACACGGCCACGGTTCATCGCTGCAGCCTGCAGACAGACCGATCGTATGTATGTACATGTTCGCGACCAGAATGACAACGTTACGTACGCTTCGACCAGGTGGGTCCCGACTGTCAGGCACTTCCTTGCGTGCGAAGATGTAGGTAATGGGTCCTAGCAGTCAGTGGGGCGAATCAATTTTCCCCCGTAATATGGACGCACTTCCTTGCGTGCGAAGATGTAGCTGGTGGGTCCCTGCAGTCAGGGGAAAACATTTTTTTTTGTGAAATACGGTGGCCTCTCCGGTGGGTCCCTGCTGTCAGGTGGAGGAATAATTATTTTCCG